TTGTCAGTTTTAATTTTTCAGTCAATTTTATTTCTTGCTAATTTATAGGAAACAGAAAACAAAATATCAAAGTATTGTCTAGTAAATTATGATTAGGTCTTACAAGTAGATGACCAATATTCATTTTTCAAGTAGTAGATGGTGGCTCAGGCCCACTGAGTCCTTACTATTTTTTAATTGACTCAAAACTTCTAATTTATAGAAATTTTCAAGTTAAGCAGAGATTAATTCAGTTACTCATATGTTTAAACGTATCTTTAGAATGATATTTTTGTGAAAGTTTTCTCCAGTTCAAAAGTGTCTTCTATTAGTCTGAGAATAGGTTAGTAACAGGAAGGCCTGAGGTCTAGTTTTGACAGTGATATAGATACTTTCCATACTACAATATTTTTTAATATCTGTGACATCTGAAATGTGATAGAAACCCAATTTTTAAAATTTCCATTTCTACAGTACACTTGGGTTAATTTTTTAAAAATCTAAATCAAAGGAGAAGAGAGTTTTCTCTTTAAGGAAGAATACAAATGAATTTCAAAGACTTTCAAGCTATTTAGTTCCATTATGGAAATCGCAGCCATCAAAGCTGAATAACTGTCTTATATTCCTCTATGTCATATTTTAAGCACTTAATTCTATTGTAGTGTGGGGGAGTTGAATAATTTAACTTTATGAGCAGGAGGTCAGGTTACAGTCAAGCTATTTGCTTTTTCATAATATTAGTGATGTCTGTAGTGCACTGTAAATAAGATTTCCATCAGTGTGAGCTTATGGGTTGTTTCTTAAAAGACCAAATGTCATGTCTTGATAAATTACAGTAAAAATAAATATACAGTAATAATTAGGAAAAATTAAGTTTCAGATTCTACATCTGAAAAAATAGTATTTATAAACTGTGCCTGACAAAGAGATTTATGCAGGTTCTAGAATTTTTTAACCATAACAGAGATTTTATTTTATGGTTGTTTCAAACAAGCAGTAATCACAATGGCCTGGAGGATTTTTCAGTGGTGTGGTAACCTTTTCAGGAAGGGTGGTAATCCTTCTGACAGGAGATGTATAGTGCTTAGTTGAGCTGGCAGCTGGAGGGTGTGTGTCACACCCTTAAAGTTCTCTTAACTTTTAAAGTTCCAGGAAAGTCCTGGAAAGGCAGGAGTAGTCATTTTCCATGGGGTATCCAGCTGAAGGTACATGATGAAAGGCTTTTATTAAGGTATCTTTAGGTAGTTAATGGTGAGAAATGGATTAGACAGAGGCTCATGAAGGTGAGTGAGAATTAGCTAGTGATCTAAAAATAACAGCAGATTTTTAATAGTAGTGACTGGCCATAAGTTTTCAAAAGTACTGTTCCTCCTGCTATGATGTCATAACTCTGGTTTAAAATAATATAGTGTACATTGTACAACTATATTTATGGCAGGTATTGTTAAAATTAAAAAATTGTTGAATATTAAAGGGGAGCTAATTGTGCTATGATGACCAGTAAAGAGAATGACAGGCTTGAGCACTAAGTGGTGTGGTGACTGCAGGGCAGGATGAGCCCTCTCTTGACAGCAAGGTTTCTGGCTGATCAGGTGTACAGATACAGTTAATATATTTCTGATGGATAGGATTAACTTCTGGCATTTGATCCCAGTAGTCAAGCTGGCTGCTTCAACAGGAATGAAATTAATTAGAAAGGGAGTTTGATAGTGCCAGTCAACGTAGACCAGGAATTAAATTAGTTGCTTTTATCTATCAGGCTGCTTTGTCTGAAGAAAAGCACTCCATTTTCAGGTAGGTCCTTTTTCTTGCATGTGGCCTAGCAGTTGCCACATGCAGGGCACCTGTACGAAGCTTTTCCCTTTAGGAAAGGTTGGAATAGATTGAGGATCCAGATGCTCTTTGCATTACTGTTAGCCATGGATGATGTTCCTAAATTCATGTCTTAGCAATAAAATGGAGGATGGAAAATGACTGTTTGTGGTAAATGTAACACACAAGATTGGAAAATGTTTGTGTGAGTGGTGTAAAAATATAATGCTATATTGACACATCCTACTCTCATTAACCTACTTCATGCTAGAAAAAAAGGTGGATTTTTTGTAAATCCCATGCCAGTTCACCAGATACATTTTCCTCAGCAGTACTGTTTTTACTCATACAGAAATCTATGTCTTTAATCCTCTCAGCCTTCCCTCCATGAAATTATAGCAGTAATGTTTCCAGAAGTGATTTCTCTATTTTTCTATGCATCCATATGAGGACACTGTGACATGTAGTCATATATATGCATACAAATAAATGTGGGGAGTGTGTGTATATTTTTATAATCTATTTGTAGCTAAAACAAATCTCCTGTTGTTTTTATTACAGTCAACACAAATATGTAGATATTTAACACTGAAGCATGTGTACACTCAGACTACTCCAAGGCACGTGTGAGATTTGTCAAACTAGATTCTGTACAGTTTTGTGTGTTACACAGTACATCGTGGAGTTGATATTATAAACAATACTTATTAGAGTGTTTTAATGATTTGGAGGATTAAATCTATGCAAAAACCTGTGGTTGTGGATGCAACTTGATCTATAGGTAATATAGACTGAGTATATGTGGTGTGTTAACTGCATAGTATGTGAACATTGCATGTGTATTGGTCTCAATCTTTCAAGGAGATCCACATGAATAAATGCTGTATCTGCTGAGTGACATTTATTTCAACTCGGCTTGACTGGAGATGAAAAGACTTTGCCTATATGGGGTACACAACTGGGGAGGGAAAGTTATGCAAATTTTTATTACAGGCATGGTAGAAATTATCAGGGATTAGATAATTTATTATTGGAACAATTTATTTTGGGATGTGTCATATTTTTCATCAGCTAAAGTATTTAAGTGAAAAATATTTATCTTCCTTAGAGCATTTCTGAACCTAATCTCTGTTGTCTTAATGAAAACTCCAATGTCTTTGCAAACTGTCTGCATTCTGGTAGTTCTGTTGTCCTAATTATCCATTCCCATTGGCCATTCTGGTTTTAGACTTATGAAACTCTGTTCGTGTCACATTAGAGTGATTCAATGTGAGTCTCCAGTAGCAGAATCTGTAGAGACTTTGTTAAACTTACAGAGGTTATGATATGTGCTGGTACTAACATGATGCTGTAATAAGACAGATAGGACATCTAAGCTTCACCATATATGCAAATAGGCATCTGCAAGATGCTTGTACTACTTATCATGCTTTGCAGGAAGAGTTTCATTTTTGCAAGATTGAGTCGGTTTTCTAATTTGTAGATGCCATTGTAAAGCTAAATTACTTTAATATTTACAAGGCAAAACTGGGTCCAATCTTTCAAGCACAGTTTAATGATTCTCTGTGGTACCTAAGACAGTGCAGAATGCCAGTTTGCCAATCCCCACTGCCACACACACTCTGCTCAGACAGTTGTGGGTTTCCCTTACTGAGAAAAGACTGCATTTCCTTTCTGGCTGTGAACATTTTTTCTCCTATTGGCTAAACACAGAGCCCTTTATACTTTCTTGGACACTAAGGGAGAAGCTGTTTCTCTTTCTCCCCTTCACTAAATTGAAGGGTTTCCTTTTTTCTTCTAGGACCATTGTGGCAACAAGAAGACTCTGTATTTGCTCACTTTTTTCCCATCCTTCTAAACACTAGGCAAGATCTCCTGGTTGCTGCCTGCAAGGCTGCCCATCAGGATCACTGGCCATTTTGTGAGGGTAGAAAACATTTTAAATGAGATCTTAATTATAAAAACAGAACTAAATATAAGAAGAAAGGACTGAAAATAAAAATAATTGCTTCATATATGTATTTTCATTACTTAAAGCTTGAGTTATCTGTATTATCACAGAGAAGTCCCACCTCTCAGTGTCTTTTATCCACATCTGGGATCTTGCTTCAGTTTCCTGCAGGTAACTTCTTCACACCCATCAAGGATGAAAAGCCAAGCATGAATCAGAACATGTCTGGAAGTACCATTTTAAATGCTCACTACCCTGTAAGGATTGTTTTTTCCCTGTGAAGAACTACCCCTTATTTAACTGATTCTTTCTAATCACATGGCAAACAATGTTGTATCAAAAAACCAGAACATATAACATTCGTGACATTTTCCAGAAACTAAAATAGTATTCCTTTACTAAAATAATACATACAAAAGAATCAAATGCTTCAATCTATCATTTATCAGTGTCAGGAAAGAATATCTTGATAATTCTTTTTCCACCTTCCTCAGAAGCCTCAGGTGTTGTCTCTGGCCAGCTGGTGCCTATGACAAAGAGTCTCTGCTTTATGTGCTACAGGATCTCCATTCTAGTATTTTGATGTGTCTTACTCAAATCTTTGGACTAATACTGTTACCATCCCTATAGAGATGGGAAGGATTCTTTTGTCAACTCAGAAAGCACTTTGAAGTGCTTTCTTTTCTATACAGCACAAAAAAATGTTTTGTTTTCTGAGTTCAGGACTTCTGAGTTCATCTGATTTAGACATGTGCGGCCATTGGATCTTTGTTTGTTTTCTGCCCTTGGCACACATTATAGTTTTGTGGGAATGGAAATGTGTGGTAGTTTCAATAATGGCTGCTAAAAGAGCAAACTAACTGAATGACCCTTCTAGCCTTAATTTCTATGGTGATTATAAAGCCCTATGAAATAGAAGAATATGGTCAAGTTATATCACTGTAAAATGATTACAAAGGATTAATAAAATGTTGGTACTTGTAAAGCTGTTATGACTACAAAGTAACATAAGTATTTGTATTCTATATTTTATAGTGTTCTATTAGCATTTTTCCTTCAAAGCTGTTTTTTATTTAAGCTGTGCACCCAGAAGCACATTTGTAGCATGACATGCTTGCTTTAATTAATTACAGAAAGTGTGAGAGCACAAAGAAATGCAATGAAATCATTCTATCATTTAATTAGCATTAACTATATATTTGTGCTGCATAAAATATTGACAGAATTCTCTTTCTGCTTTCTTGTCATGATTATTTAGGAAAAGAAGCCCATCAATATCAAGAGAACAGAACAGAAGATACGAGCAAAGGGACGAGCGAGACGAATATTCGCAGTATGCTACATCAGACAGTGCGATGCCCAGGTCACCATCAGATTATTCAGATAGACGGTCACAGCGTGGGCCTCAGTTGTATGAAGAACCTGAACTGGGTGATTATAGGGATTCCAACCGAAGGAGCCGCAGACGTTCCAAGGAGTATCCGGTAGAAGAAGAAGATGCACAAAACAGGGAGGAATATGAAAGGCAGCGGAGAGAAGAGGAATACCAGGCACGATACCGAAGTGACCCTAATTTGGCTCGTTACCCAGTCAAGCCACAACCATATGAGGAACAAATGCGTATCCATGCTGAAGTGTCCCGAGCACGTCATGAACGGAGGCATAGTGATGTCTCATTGGCAAATACAGAGTTGGAAGATTCTCGGATGTCTATGCTCAGGATGGAACGGCCATCAAGGCAAAGATCGGTGTCTGAGCGCAGGGCTACCATGGAAAATCAACGTTCATACTCTATGGAAAGAACTCGAGAGGCTCAGGGGCCAAGTCCCAATCGTCAGAGGACCACAAATCATAGCCCTCCTACACCAAGGAGGAGTCCAATTCCTCTGGAAAGACCAGACATGAGGCGCTCTGATTCATTAAGGAAACAGCACCATTTGGATCCCAATTCTGCTGTACGGAAAACAAAACGTGAAAAAATGGAGACCATGTTACGGAATGATTCACTTAGCTCAGACCAGTCTGAGTCTATCAGACCTCCCCCACCAAAGCCCCATAAAACGAAAAAGGGAGGTAAAATGCGCCAGGTTTCATTAAGTAGCTCAGAAGAAGAATTGGCATCCACTCCAGAATATACAAGTTGTGATGATGTGGAGATTGAAAGTGAAAGTGTTAGTGAAAAAGGTAAGATTTCTAATTTTTGATTTTTTCAATATCTAGATGTGATTTAGATTTCATTACATTGTATATTTATTTTACCTATTTAAATTGATTGCCACCACTTATCTACAGCCCTTCACAGGTGACTGAAATTTTGTTGTGATGGGAGTTGGGCTTTTTTCTGATTTTATGTTTCATTTGCTTAGATCTAAAGTCAATGATTTACACAGAAAAGAACATCACAGCTACTAGAAGCATTAGGATATTTTAAAGGAAAAAGCATGTCTATTGAAAAACCTGTCAATGAAATCTGCAAAGTAGCTAGAGCTGGTCTGTCATATAAGGCCATGGTTTCATGTCCATTAATACCAGATTTGCGTGCTCCTGGATCACAATGAGTGCATATTTGATCTGGATCAAGTGTGGGCCCATGACCACGTTTTTATTGAATTAACTAGAGCACATGACACAGACCTTATGCCAGTTTCATGCTGGCTGCTGCAGGTTGAAGAGTATCTTATCTGCAATAAGACCTGTGTGTATAAAGTTAAGCCATTCAAGTTTTGAAACAAATTTGAAATGACTGATGTGGTTTATACCAATGGAGGTTTCTTTTTCTTCTGGTACTATGGTGCTTTTTGGCTTAGTACTTTTTAGGATTAATGTTGGAGTTACTCCACTGTCAGAAAGAAAAGCTAAGATTGATTGAAATGAATCCCAACCTATACAAAGGTAATCTATGATTTAAATATGAAAGTATTGGGGACAATCGGTTTGAACTCAATCAAATTAATATTATTAGTTTGCTTACTTTCGTGTATGTTGTTGGTCTAAAGTACATTAGTTTTAACCTTTTTTTGAGTTACAAGTCTTATGGTAGTGAACCGTTACTACTCCTCCCGAGTGGTCTTCTGCTGTTGTGGATTGGGAACAGAAGATTTGTTGCTATGTATTATTAATATGGCTATCAAATTGGTTCTGAAGCAAGTAATTAATTAGAGTTAGTAAAATAAGTCTGAGTTTTCATATGTCAATATCAGCAACCGTGTTCTGGTAAGTAAGGAGCAGGCTAGAGTAGAATGGAAGGAAATTTCACCCAGGTCAAAGTAGTAGACAGTTACATGCACAAACAACTGTGCTGAAACCTTGACCTCCTTAGGCTTCCTGATGAGTAGAAAAAACTTCTACCAACTTTATGGTGCTCATGATTTTGTTCTTAGAAGCAACCTTGAGGAAAATAGGACCAATAAATATATGGGAAGTATTAAAAAAGTGTTTATTTATGGCCATCCAGCATAGGAAACATAATATACAGAATAATATACAAATTATATTTTTTTTGTACACATAACATACAAAACATACACATTTAAGATTATAAAGGCATGGAATTGTTTAGGTTTGAAAAGATCTGTAAGATTATTGAGTTCAACTGTTAATTTAGCACTTCCATGGTTTCAACACATCAATAACCCTTGTGTCTTTGCTGCTGCGTGGATCTCCATCCCCTACAGCAGACTGAAGGACCTCACTAGCACAATGTCCCTCAGATATTGGCCTGTTGCCTCCAGGTTTACCTGTAGCAAACCTAGTTTTATGCCTTTTCCCCTTCAGACCTAGTTTAAAGCTCTCTCAATAAGCCCTGCTAAGACCTGCCCAAAGGTCCTTTTCCCCTTCTGAGACAGGCACCTCTCCCATTTGTTGTCAGCAGGACTGGTATCATGTGAACTCTAAACATGATCAAAAAACCTCAAAATTCTACTGGTGGCACCAGGCTCAGAGTCAGGTACTGATCTGAAAGGAATCTTCCTTTCTTTCCTCATCATTCCCTTGAATTAGGATAGAGGAGAAGATCATTTGTGCTCCTGATCCCTTAAAGAGTCATCCCAAGGCCCTGAAGTCTCTTCTTAATTGCCCTTGGATTTCTTGCTGCCACTTCTTCTCTGCCTACCTGAAAAATCCATATAAGCTGAGTGCCATTCTGGGATAGGAAGTTTTCCCTTTACATCTTCGACTGTGGTCCCAGAGCTGCACCAGACTTCGCCAAGAAATGGGTCCAGTCTGCATATTGGTCCTTCTGCTCCCTTCAGACAGTAGTTTAAAACATCCTATATGATGCTAGATTCTCTGTCATAATAATGATCTTACAAAAACTTACAGCTTTCACTTAAATAATTTTGTGTTTTAAGTGTCAAAGAAAACACTTTTATGTATAACAGTAGTTAATGACAATGCCATGTCTGTGCTGATTTCTGAGGCAGTGAATGAATCTCACTACCTGGATCCAGACTTCCCAGCTGCTATAGGTAGACACAGAAAGTCCTACCTCATTCTTTTTGTTTTCATGAATCTTACTGTGTAAACCAGCACATTCAGAGTCCCTATAAGCAAGTGATTTATTTGTGAATACCACCCAAAGGAATCCAGCACATAAACCACCATCAGTCTTCCTTGTATGGCAGTACATTGTTTCCTTAATTAATAAAATACGATTAATTATTTTAAATATATCATATAAAAATTAGTTTCTCCTCCCCCCGGATTAGTTGCTTTCTGGCCTTTAAAAATGCCCCAGATGTGAGGATTTCTGAGATGTCCTTTTGAGTCACATACGAAGTCTGTCTGGCCAAAGATAAAATGCTAAATATAAAACATTTGGCTTTAGAGTGTTGAAGGGTGGCAATGTTAGCTTGAGAATTTGGATGCAGTAATAATGAGCTCTCCAAAAAGAGCAGAATAATGTTTTCTCCATCTCTTTCTCTGTGGAATACCCATATTTTTTCATAGGTAGCGCAGATAAGTATTAACAACTGCTCTGCTGTGTAGAGCAGTCTGGGCCTGAGCTGCAGGAATAGGTGATCACTGGTTTGCATCTGAGATTTTAGAAGGCCCTAATGCTGGTTTTAAGAAACTAGTCTGAAAATTATGCATTTTCCAAAAATAAAGGAAAAAAATATAGTCATATACTCTTAAAAGGACTGAAAGCTTTCCTTTTAACCTTATCTTCAAAAGAAAAAGGGTCAATACATACATAGGTTGGAACATATATATGCACACAAAATGAAGATAGATATTTCGTTCTGTGAGTTCAATGGAAACAGGTACCAGCTGCTGGATTAAGAGCTCTGGGAAGAGCATCAATTATTGTTGAATGCCTGTGACTTTCAGTATTTGGGTCTGATCTCATTTCAATAGCTGTCTGCCTCAAGGTAATGTTTCTTTGATTTTTAAAAATGTAGTCTAATTGTTTTCAGGGAAGAGACAAGGCAAAATTATTTTTCTGCATGTTTCTGGTGATGGTGAGAGAAACTATTGCCTTGGAATGCTCCTGCCTCTGTGGGGGACAAGGGAAACTGTGAGCAGAGAAAGCTGATGAATACTCTGACAGGACTTGAGTACCCCATAGACAGTCATGTGAAACACAAGCAGGTTCAACTGCAGAAAAGAAGACCTAGATTCTTAAGATACTGGGTAGTTTTTGTAATGCAAATATATTTGGACCAGGAAATTTGGATCATATGCCAGACTGAGAACTGGCATATTGAAATGGGAATCAGGAGGCTTCAGGAGAAGCAGATAAGGGAAGGAAGTTTAGGGATGGCAAAACAAAATGTCATTGGTTGTCTGGAAAATGGTGGATTGATATGGAAAGTGAGGCTGTAGGAGAAGAGGGAAGAGCAAAGCTGGTAGATCAAGAAGGCAAAACCTGTAACCTGTAGTTTGGGAAGAGCAGATAAAGTGAAGGAAATCAGGCTGATAGAGATAACTGGTAAGGTGAGAACAGGAACTTCCTGAAGGGTAGGTTAGAGGATTCTGAGAAGCACAATCAGCATTTTGGGAGAGATGGTGAGTGACTGGGAAAAGGGCATTCAGAGAGAAGGGCAGGAGGGCTAAACTTGGCTTGGGATTTTTTGCAAAGAGGGACTGGAATGTGGACCTGGCACCATTGACCTGAAGTGCTAGAGGGTGTTTGGTGAGATGAGAAGAGTAAGACTGTGGTGAGGAGAAAACATTGTGACTGAGCAGTTCATTCTTTAAAAGCTCAGGAAATATGTATGGCAACAGTGTTAAATGGACATAGCTGAGATTACAAATATGTTTACCTGAAACTTAGGTTGTGTTAGAATTAGACATATTTTGCAGGCTGAATTTTGTGCAGCTCTTCATACAAGTTGAAACTGCCCCTAGTGACACAATTGAATACCAATTTACCAGCTGGCCTCTGCCTTTTTCTGTGCACAGGATGAACATTTCTTGCTTATTATGCTATTCAAATTATTCTGAAACTTCCAACATTTTTTCCACATTATCTAAGGGACCCTTCTTTACTCTTGCTGTGAATACCAGGCTTCTGAAGCTGCAAATACAGTGTCTTCATTTGTAACACTTGTTGCCAGTCCTGGTGATCAGTGTATCAGACAGTTTAAGGCTGCATCTCCACTGCAGGATTCCCTGCCTGTCTTAGGAAATACACTTTGGAGAGAAAAAAACCCAGAAAGTTTTGGACCAAAAACATATGTTTCAGACCAAAATATTAGGTATATTGCTATATCCCCTACTGAAAGATCAAAATTGCTTAAAATGTTAGAGGAAAGCAATTCTTGAAATGCCGGTAATTTAAGAAATTGTAAATTTTAAATGGCAGTAAAATTGATCCTCCATCAATAAACCCAGAGATCATAATGATGTATTTATAAGTGTTCTAGACTGTTCAAGTCACTTATTCTTTCTCAAAACCATCTCAGTTTACATAGTTCAGTTCCAAGGCTCTAAGAAACATGGTTTATACAGCGAGAACAGTTGTGGTGTTAATTGCAGTAAAGTGAACATTGAACTATGTCACCTACAGAACTCCAAATAAAACTGGTTTTTGTGCTGCACAAGTTAGGCCAAGCTTTCTACATTGCTTGTCCAATTCAAGTGTCTTCTGTTGCGAGGAAACGTTAGAGTATTTTTTGTTTGTATTTTCAGTTAGATGTTTGCCAGTGCAATTGTAAGGAATAGGCCCCGGGGGAGGTTTGAAA